TAATTTTCATTTAACATATTTTGTCTCTTGCACTTTCTTTTTTTAATTTTTTTAGTTGTAAATGGAAACAATACCTTTATTTTGTTTATTTATATATATATCTGGTGCTGAGGATCAAACCCAGTGGCTCATATATGTGAGGAAAGTGCTCTACCACTGATGTACAACTGCAGCCCCCTCTTGCAATGTCTTAATTAGCATAATTCTATTATTTTTTTAGCTCAAAACATTACCATTTCCTCTAATTTTGATTTTTAACAAAACTAATTTATGACCACTTGCTCTATTAAATAATATTTTATTGCATAATTAATATTGCAAAACAAATTTGGCACCATGTTCTATTTTGAACAGTTTTCAATCATTTATATAAATATTTACTGTTTTTCCCTCCTTCTTAGCTTTCTCTCTTACATTTAAAAAATCAAAAAGGGAATCATTTTATTTCTTTTCATATTTCATATGGAAATCCTGCCTAAATATGTTGATTCTCTCTTAACGCCTTACAATTCTAAGTAGTGTCAAGCTCTTGTTTCATTTGAGGTGAAATTTAAAGGCTGTTTTTTCATTCACTTTTATTGGCTTTATTTGAAGAAAGAGCACAATAATTTTTGTGTTTTGTTAATATCTTGCTTTGAACCCAGGTTTACTTTATTTCAAGATTTTCCAATATATATGGAGTGCTTTAGCATAGAAGAATTTATATTTGACTCTTAGAAGCTTTATCTTGTTCTCTCATTCAATGTAGCATTCTAAAAGATAGTAACCAAAGAAATTTTTCCCATCTCTTATGAAGTCTTATTAGATACTGTTAAGAAAAATAAATTTCTTGACATGTGTTAAGATGGCAATGTATCCTTTATGCAGGGGCCAAGATGATAGGTGTGGGTTCCACTACATCAGAGTCTTGTATGCAGAAAGAGATTGGAGTTATCAAGCATGGAATTATACTGATAAAACCAACCAATTAGTTTTATGTCTATTGTTAAAATATCTAGTTATTTAACCAAAGTGTATTTTTCCCCAATATGTTATTATATTGAATTCTTGAGATAGAAATAAAGGTTGGATAGAGATTATCCCAAGCCATTTAAAATTTGGATTTAGGATGCCCCAAACCCATGATGGATTTTTTAATTTGCTATGTACAGTGAAGGAAAGGATAAGATTTAAAACTGTTTCTCTGACCCCTTGTTTTATAACACTAATAATGATCAAAGAAGGGGACACTGATGAATTTATAAAGAACCACAGTACATAATCAAGCAATCTCTTGACCTCTGGCCCCCAACTTATTCATTGTCACCCAGAGAAGGTGGGGTTACTTATCTGCTTAATGAAAGATATGGGTGTCTGCTCCCTCCTCCAGATACTTCTAGACTTGAGAAGACAAAGTCAATGTTTTCTACCCATTTGTTGGAGAGCTCTACCATTTAATGATTAGTGGTTGAATAAGTGGATGTTCCTCAATAATTTGGAAAGAAATATTAGGGAGTTGTTTGGATTGAAGATATGTTTATATACACAAGTACCACAATGAAAGCTGGTAATAATTCTGATATTTGATCTTTTGCTGTTTGATCTCTACATTTATATTTCAACAAATGAATAAAACATGGTGGGTTTGATTAAATTGCTTAAAACCTTGAATATTATATTACTAAGCTTTTCACTATTATAATGAAAACTTGAGATATCAAATGTATAAAGGACAAAGCTCTATTTTGCTTACAGTCTTGGAGTTTCAGTCCATGGTTGGTTGGCTCCAATGTTTTAATTTCGTCTGTGATGAGACAGTACTTCATAGCAGTGAGCATGTGGTAAGGTGAAGGTGCTCACCTCATGGTGACCAGGAAGAAAAAAAGAGAAGAAGAAACTGGTGTCCCAACAAAACTTCAGGGGCATACCACAATGACCTCAAAATTCTCACAGCCTTCATCTCTTGAGGGTTTCCACCACCTTCCAATAGTGTCAAGCAGAGGAACAAGCTTTTAGCACAAGGGCCTTGAGGAACATTCCAGATCCAAACCGACAGCCATGGATGAAATACACATACTGATGCATCACCAATGCACATCTAGGTTTCCATTACCTTTTAAATCAAGCCTTAATGTCAGGATAAAAAAATGTATGACTGTTATTTAATTTAATTCATCACTGCTTTGAGATACTTTTAGTTGAGATTTTTCCTGCATGATATGTGCTATTATGTTAACAAACTTGATTTTCTCTTGTTGATACATCATTTATTATAGATGGTCCAGCTCTATGAAGAATTTGAGAGAAATTAGGAGAGAACATTTTTTCCCCTCCAACACATTATCATAATTTTAACTTATTTTTTCTTTTAAGATTAAAATATTGATGCCATGAAATAAATTTAATGAATGTACATAATTATTATTCCTATAAATATAAGAAAAAGTAACATGTTCAGATTTTTATATTTGTAGAAAATGTTTCATTAGGTTATTAATCTGCAATAGAATTTAGAACAAGGTAATAACATTTGAAGAAAAAAAATTAATCTAATAGTTTTGATGCTATTAGTATTATTTTCCTGGCAAATTTACTTCTCTATAAGATTTGCATGCTATGTGATTGCTTATTATATTAGAATATAAATGTGTTCAGCAACATAAAATATTTAATTATTAAGGAAAAGTGATGTATTTTTACTATTCTTTCATTTTAAATAGTATATAGACTTACATAACAAAAGTATCATACACATAAGCATT